TAGTTATTTTTAAATAACATGTGTGCACACCCAAGCTCAAGCACTAAAAGTTACATGATTTCCACCTCGCAAAAGAGTAAAATGAATCTCACTACCCATGTACCGAGAATGGTAGCAAGGTGAGATGAAGAATATGTTACTAGGCTTAACAATAATTATTTCACTACATCTTTGTTTCTAAGCATCACACGAAATGTATTAAAATTTTAATAATCAATCATACTGCAATAAATTTGAAGCAAATACTCTGGGTTTGTGCATATCTATGCAAATGGGTCAGAAATTCTGTTTCGATGATGTATTAGGAGGTCTTTCTTTTTTCCTTCCTCCCTTTCCTCCTTTCTTTTGTTCCTTCTCTTTCTCTTTCCTTCATTTTTTCTTTCCTTTCTTTTTGAGACATACACACAGAGAGTCTAGACATATAGACGTGATAAAGAAAGACTATTTTTCTGAGGCTCTTAAGAGAAACACACAGTCAATTGTGTGGTTTCATTCCTCTCTATCCCTGGGCAGAGGCTTGAATGAGAGTTCCCTAATAGTCTTGGGCTTTTGATTATTTAGTACTTGGTGGAAATGTTTGGGGGCTTAGGAGGTGTGGCATTATTGGAGGAAGTATTTTACTGGAGGTGGGATTTAAAAGTTTTAAAGGATCATGATATTACATTTTAAATAACACTGTTGTACTTATATATGACATATATAAAGCATGAAGGTTCTCTTAGCATGCATATGTGATATATCACACAATTAAACATCACTGTAGCATTAAAATTTTATCCATTCAACTCTAGAGAAAACAGATTAAAGCTGTCTCTAGTTTGTCTAAGTTATTGGAGATGACAGGTGGCGGCAGTAAAATAGAGAATAAAAGCTCCTTCCTTCTGAATTCTGTCATAATAACCACTGGAAAGTGTTCCCTCTCATTTCTCAATAGGAGGGACAGGACTTTTGTTTTCTTGGTTACTGTGTCAGCCTTTCTGAGTGGGTATAACAAGGGCTCCTTCATAGCTCAGCATGATGGGAAAGTAAATATGTCAGTTTACCTCATCTAGGAGGGGCTCAGACACTTGGTTAAACATGATGAGTGTGTCTGTTAGCAATTCTGTATGTGATTGACATTTGATTCAGTAGGAAAACACATCGACAGACCTAATTTTTAAGGGAGGAAGGGGGTTGATCTAGTCAGGTGTAGATTTTGGGAAAATAAAAGTCAGACTTCTGAGGAGGGACAATCTCCTTTGCCTTTGAATTGAGGAATTCATTTTCTCCTGCACCCAGACTTGGATTTGCCCTGAAGCATAGACTTTTCTATGACTTTGATCTCTCAGGGTTTTGGTGGGAAAGAGCACACACACGGGGTCTTAGATGATTGAATCGGGACCAGAACTGTAGAACTGGGTCTTTTGTATATCTAGGTTTCTCATCATTCTGTAATATCACAAATAGATCATTCCTAATAAAACTCTTTCTATATCTATATGCACCCTGTTAGTTCTGTCTTTAGGGGACACCCTGAATAATATACTTAATGTGTGTTTTCTTAATTAATAAAATCATGACTTCCTCCTGCCTAGACAAGCACTGCAGATAATCACCCACTGAGAGCCAACTCTCAAATATCTAACTAAGTGATAGGAATCTGAGAAATACACAGAGACCAAGAGTCACTGTAGTGAAAAAGCATTGAGCAGTGGATATCTGTGACATAACTGAGGACATCCATATTGTGAAAATCAGTTTTCACCATTAGCCTAGTTTGTAACGATTCTGAAGCATCCCTGTAGGTATGTACTCCGACCTAAATTTTCCTATTGAACTAGAATCATACTTCTGATTGTCTTAATTGATCTGGCACTTCATTTGAATATATGTATTCTCATTTGAATAATGTCAGTAAAGAAAATAAATTATAAGCTAGCATCCCTTTTACGCACAAATGGCTATAAAATAAATCTCCATTTCAACTTTTAACAGTGGATTTTAATTTTATGATACAGAGCTTAGTTATAACATCAATGTTATGAATTGTAATTTTTTTTGTCTTTTATTTTGCCTTTATAAATGTTTCTCTGTCACAACACAATGAAAGCACTACTCACGCGACTGCTATTCATAAATTTCTAAATGATTTTAGTTGTCATTAACATATTAAGTGAAATAGCACATTGTGATGCTCTGATTTGGTAGTTTGTATACATATGCAATGAATGAGGTCTTATGTGCACATGACATCTGGTCTTAAACGAAAGACCTCAGAAATGTCAAACACCAGTGTGAGCGTTTTATTTGTATCAGACCTCCAGACTTGAAGCTCATTTTTATTCCTACAAAATTAAATGTCTGGATCAAGGAGAAGTTAGTTTCCTGTCACTCCATGTAGTTTGTGTTGAAAAAAATGGAAAAGAGTAAAGAATGAAAATAAAGTCTTTGTTACTGTATACAATTAATCCTTGGGAAGATAACGTCTGTGTACAGACAGAGAAGGAATGGATTTTTTCAGCCAGAACTCTAATTTCGTTCCCAATTATCTCAACTCAAGAGAGGTATGCCTTCCTTCTGTTTCTCCTCCCACCATCTCCACAAAGAAAATTGAAAGAAAGCTCAACTACCATTTTTCATGGAAGATAGAAAGTCATACTTCATTAGCTTTAATTAGAAACATTATATGCACAGAAAAAGCAATTAGATAAGCAGGGTACTGGTGGCACATGCCTTTAAATTCCAGCACTCGGGAGGCAGAGGCAGGTGAATCTCTGTGAGTTCGAGGCCAGCCTGGTCTACACAGTGAGCTCCAGGACAGGCTCCAGAGCTACAGAGAAACCTTGTCTTGAAAAACAAAACAAAACAAAACAAAAAGTAAAATAAAATAAACAAACAGAAAGGAGATAAAAAGAAAACATAATGAGATAAGCAAAGAATGGTAAAAAAAGAAATCAATTGTGTAATAACTAAACTTGTCTAAAAATCATGCAGACTTCTGAAGTGTGCAAGTTTTCTCAGGAGACATATCTGCTGGAATCAATTATCTGAAGAAATAATAGTGAAAGAATCTGTCATCAAGACCGAATCTAAAGAGTGTGGGTTAAGTGTTTTGGCTGTTTTTATGCCAATTTGACACTTGCTAAAGTCATTTGAGAAGAAAAAAACCTCAACTGAGAAAAATATGAGCAGCTTGCTGGTGGAATAGTCGGTAGGATATTTCTTGACTGATGGGTGATGGGCGGGAGTGAAGACCGCTGTGAGTGGTGTCGCTCATGGATAGGTGGTCCTGGATTGTCTGAGAAAGCAAACTGAGGAATCCAGGAGGAATGACAGGAATGACTGAAAATGCAACCTCATTGATTGCCTCTGCTCCAGTGCCCACCTCTAGGCTGCCACCCTTGTGTCCTCAGTGAGGGACATATAAGTTGAGTCGCGAAGCAAACCCTTTCTTTCCAAAATTGTGAGACAGTGTGCTTTATCACAGCAATGGAAACCTTACTTGCAACAGTTAAACATATCATAAATTAATTTTAATCATTAAAGGGATAGCATGTCTTTTAATCCTATCACTTTTTTGAAACAAATTCTAATCTTAAAATCACCTTGAAAGATGATAATTTGACTATGAAATGCCCCTCATAGGCTTGTGTGCTGAATATTTGGTCTCCAGCTGATTCCACGTTGAAAGTTATTGAAACCTAAGGAGGTTGGATCACCTAGAGAAAGTCGACCATTCAGTGCCTTTCTTTAAGGCTATACCTGGTCTCCAGAGCCTTTCTATCTCGCTACTTCCTGTCCATCATGAGGTTAAGAGCCTCCTCTTGCAAATGTTCCTACCACCACTCAAGCTCCAATATAGAACTGGCCCAGAACCCATGGAGCCAACGACTGCAGAATCTCAGAAACTGCTGGTCAAATATGTTTTTCTTTTTTTAAAGTTTTTTTTCTCAAGTATTTTTGCTGCATCTATGCAAAAGTGACTGATAGGAATCAGGGATGGCTGGAAATATATATGTACACACTCACACACACACTCACACACACATAATTGTGAGGAGTGGTGATTCATTTCCTTTCACTATTTAATATTTTATATGTCCAAGCAAGCATTTTGTCTGCATGTATGTCTGCTGCCCAAATCATGCAGTGTTCACACAGGCCAGAAGAGGGTATCAGATCTACTGGAACTGGAGTTATAAACGTGAGTAGCCATGTGGGTGCTGGCAATGCAACCCAGGTCCTCGGAAGAGCAGCCAGGGCTCTTAATCATTGAGCTGTTTCTCCAGTCCCACTACTGACGGACACTGTTTGACAATTACCCCCTCCACTAAAACCAGCGGTTTATAATCTAATGTGAAAGACCAGGAAATTTTCTGCTGATTAAATTGCATATGAGCAGAGTGTCAGAAACAAAAACAAAAACAAAAAAAAAGTGACAGAAGCTCTCACAGTTCTGAGAAAGGTCTCAGAATTATGAAGAATCTTGGCCTATACTCAACAGTGGGTTCCCAGATGCAGCAACAGAAGCAACAAAACTTAAGGCTGTGAAGTGACAGGTGAGATGGCTCATTGTATAGAGGTACTTAGCAGTGACGCTATAATTTATAATGCTGATAATTCTATAGACTATTTTAATAACACCAAATAAAACTTAACAGTTATGACATTGAATCTTCACTTTCTTGGTTTTGTTTGTGAATTTGACTAACTTTTTAAAAATGTCAAACAAATCTGGCACAACAATTATTCCTCCTGACTAGTGTGCTATGTGTTTTGGCACCTAGTCAATCTAATATTGATACCTTAGAAAAATAATCCACTATATATATAGTGGATTCATATATATATATATATATATATATGAATAGATTATATGTTCAATCCATTGTCTACATTGAAGTACTTACAATAATATGACATTTAACATAGCAATAGAATTTATTGATATTAAAAGCTTAAAAGTCATGGCATGGTTTCAATCATCAGATTCTTCTAGATCAGGAGATAATCTCCCATACATCATTGTTACAGCAAATGACAGCACTTACCTTAGCAATCTGGACACACCAATTCAACAGCAGCTGTGATCCTATGTTATCCTTGTGTTCATGGACATAATCCAGCAGGCAGCCATGGGGCATCAGCTGGGTAACCAGCTGGATAGTCGGGCTTAGGCACACTCCCAGTAAGCGAACTAGGTGTGGGTGGTCCATGCTTGCCATGATCAGGGCTTCCTGTAGCAACAACAACAACAACAAAAGTCGTATATCATCATTTCAACTCCATATTCCTCAGCATTTTAAATCCTTACCTTGCAGGAAAGGTGTGTAGTGGATTTTAAAACGTACTAGGTGAGCCAAATATAGTGCTATGCCTTTCTTTCCAGCACTCAGGAAGCAGGTGTGAGTGAAGCTCCGTAAACTTAAAGCCTGCTTATTATATATACTGAGTTCAAGGCCAGATAGGGTTACATAGTGGGACCCAGTTTCAAAGAAAGTCATCAGTAGACTCCATTAATAATGTAAATATAATTATTAAATAATTTCATTCCTAGACTGAAATAATTAAATAAAACTAAACAATAAATACTACAAAGTGAGCACAGTGATAGAATGCCTATCTAATAGATCAGAACCTATATATTTACTTTTTATCAACCAAGCAAAAATAATATTTCATTTTCTGCCAATTTTGTTAAAATGAACACTATATCAGATACTTTTATTTTTTAATTCAATCTCTAGAACATAAGTATACAAATGTGTTACTCTCAAGAGCAATAAGGTAACCCTAACAACTTATCCATTTTTATGTAGAGTTAGCATATGTACCTGAGATATATAAATTCTAAACTACAAATAAATAATTGCAGTCAGTATGTTTAATGTTGATTTAAACAGATTTAAAATTTAAATTTTAAAATGAAAATTTTAAAAGGTTTTTTGCTCAATTATTTTATGCTTACTCAAATATATTTTATTTTTTAAAAAATAAAGAGATGTCCCATTCATAGACTTATAGAGTTTGAGAACTAAGTGAAACTGGATTAATTTCTTCATTTAATGAAATGAAAACCAAGTCCCATTTTATTTCATATTGATATTCTATCAAATAAGAAAAAATACAACCATATGGTAGTATGTAGTACATCCTATAATTAGCCTAAAGTTATTACAAATATCAACATTATAATATAAAACACATCACCATAAAGAGTATTCTTTTTCTTTAATGTTTAATATGTTCCTTTATGGAACAATGTAAATAAAACAATAGTCTACTCTTGTGAAAATCATAATAATCTTTTGGTTTTACAAAACCACATACTATCAGAAACATAATATTCATGGCAGTAATATTTAACTTTAGTTAAAAAGAATCCAACAAGTAGGATACAATATTATCAAATTTTAGGACACAGTGGATCAAAGCATGCATGAAAAACTTAAAAACTTTAGTATCATCCCAGGCATGGTGTGCAAGCCTTAGATCCAGCATTCAGGAGGCAGGGCCAGGTAAAACCCTGATTTCAAGGCCAGATTGGTCTACAACTCAATTTCCAGGCCAGCCAGCCAATACAGAGAAATCCTGGCTCAAACAAACAAACCAACAAACAGATAAATAAAAACATCAGTATCACAGGGGATACAAAAAATTGGTGAGGTGGGTCAAGCTAAAATTTATTACAGAAATAAATCAAGGCTGGGTCTTTGGCTCATTATTTTATAAAAGTTCTTTCACATCAATAATATTTGCTTTTTTTACAATATATTCTTTTCAGTTTCTTCTCTCTCATCTCCTCCACGTTTCTACACTCTTCCCCACCCAGCAAACTCTGCACTTTTCATTCTTTCTTTGAAAACCAATAGAAAATAAAAGAATAAACAAAGGATAAATCAAAGCAAACAGAAAAAGAAAAAGCACAGAAAACTTACACACAAGCACACACGCAATCTATAGAACTCAAAATTGGAGCCTGGTGATAGCGGTTCATGCCATTAATCCCAGCACTCAAGAAACAGAGGTAGGTAAATCTCTGTAAGTTTGAGGCTACAGACTGAGTTCCAGGACAGTCAACATAGAGAAACCCTGTCTCAAGAAACAAATTATAAAAAAACAGCAGCAGCAACAAACAAACAAATAAATGGAGCCCAAGCAAAGCGTTATGGAGACAAAAATATCAGTGTGTAGGTTTTGTGTTGTCCTTCTACTTCTGGGCACAGGGCCTGACCCCAAGAGTGGTTTGTATACCCATGGAGTTTCCATTAAGACAACTAACTTTTCCTTTGTGAGACGGTGACACTTAGAAATGGCTTCTGGCATGGAGATGGTAGTTCATGTCTTGTCCCCTCTCAGTTCTGGGACATCATTTGGCTAGGATTTGTTCAGGCATTGTCCATGCTGTAAGTCTCTGAATTTTTATGTGTGTCAACCCTTTTCTAGTTTGAAGGAACTCTGTGATATGTCTCATTCTTAGACTGGAAAAAAGTACTACATAGAATATTATTGAGATAACCATATATGTAACATATAAACTATATATTAAATAATATTATGCTCATCTTAAATATTTCAGAATAGCTTCAGTACAGTGTAATGTTCCAGAATATACGTCGATCACTCTTTATGATGGTTGAGCAAGCAGACCAATGATTTATAGGGGTAGAGAAAGAGGGAAAAGATGATTATATATCTATGTTTATATTTGTGTAATCCATGCACATACACACATGAAGGATTCACATACATCACAAGTTGTTACTAGTTAATTCAAAATTACAGATTGTTTATGATATTATTCTTTAATATTTTTTGTGTCTTTAAAAATTTTAAAACTCCAAAGTAAAGAATAAAGCTGTTCTGTGTTTTTGTTTATAATGGCATGACAGAACAAATATATTAAACCCAGTTTCTCAGAAGGAAACTGAGAAACAACTGATGTCACACAACAGCAAATGCTTAGGTAGCATCAAAAAACAGACACTCATGGAGGGAGAAGTGGATTCCAGAAGAACTGTTTCAAGGCTTACGTAGGAACACTGAAGTTACAGATCTGCCTTACCCTGTGTAGTGGCAAAACAGAAAGGATTGTGGATGTGACTATGAGGACAACAGTCAGAGAAACAATTCTAGAAAAGAATAAGTCATGGAACACGGATCATCATGTCTCAAATAACTGAGTAGTTTTAAGCCTTTTGTGGCAGTAGCTGAAGCCACTGTTTTCCTCCTGTCTTCTAAAGAGGACTGAACCTTTCATCTAACACTTCCATTTGTCTCTCGGAACCTGGTAATCATGGAAAAATTCATGTGACTCTATGTGTGTCTACAAGGTTAGAATATTTCACTGTCATTTACTGTGTAGTTGAGTAAATATTTTAAATAAAGCTATGCAGTTATAATTATATTACAAATATAAAGGTCAGCTAAATTTAATATTATTATATTACTATTGTAGTATCAACTAGTTGTATTCATAATATAAAGCCGAAGGTTTCTTCACCAAATTATATATGTGTATATGTATAAAATATATACAACACACCAACAACTGAACAAAACATTCACTCGGATTAAATATTTAATTATTAAATTGATATGAAATGCTAGATAACTAAGCAACATTTATACTGACTGTATTCTGCTTATCACTCTCGATGGATCCTGCTTTTCTCTTTTATGTTATAGTATTCTGCTTATCACTCTCTTGATGGATCCTGTTTTTTTCCTATATGTTTGCATTACTAGGTTTAGTACATTGTTCCCAGATCCTTAGGTACTAAGTCTGGAAGTATGACTTGTGGACATGAAAATGTGGCAAGCATGTATATAAAGCTAATGTAGAAAGCAGGAACCTTTGAGATCCTCTTGCACATTTAAGTCAAACTGAGACTCTCTAATTACAGAATAAACCTTTGTAAACATTGTTTGATCCTTATTTTGACCATGTGACTAGTCAAAAGAAATGGACATTCCTAGTTAAACAAACAGGAAACTGAGTCTCAATGCCTTATTCTTCCAAAAGATTGGCTTTGCCAGCAGCAAGATCAGTTTACAGAATATTTTCTGATTAGTAATGCAGCTTTATTTTATAGGATGCTATAAATACTGTAAATAGTTTTATCAGGGTTTTACAGTGCAGACATTTATCTTATTAGCAACAGCTTCAAACGCCTCATGGAATGAAGCAAGCCAAGTTACACATCAGTTACTAAGGACCAAACAGAATCAAACAACACATTGTTGCTAATACGTAAACTAAACTACATTCTTGGAAATATACTTCAGGAAAAAAACAAAGAAATAGTTTTCTCTGACTTAGTATAGTACATAGTAGAAGTATTTCCTAAGGTGGAAAGAATGGTACAAGAAATACGTTAAGATTATTATTTTTCAAAGGACGAAATATACAAAATGGCTGTTTTCCTTCTACAATTCAAGGAATAACGCTAATGCCATTCTCACGTGCATTTGAAAAGTTTACATTGGATGACTTCTCATGTGAAAATTGAAAATTCTCTTTATAAAAATCTATTAGTAAGTCTTGGCAAAAAAGCTGGGTATGTATTAAGGAAAATTGCTCATCACACTACAAAGAATATTTGAAACTAAATTGCAGATAATTTGCATAATTGTTCTCTCTCTCCTTTTTCTTTTTCTTTTTTTTTTAAGAAAAAAAGATGAACAAGACACTAATTGTAGGTTTTATTTTTTCATAAAGGGAATAGCAGATGGCTTTTTGGAAGCTAGGGGAATAGATAAAGAAAATAGAATGTGGATTCATTGAAAACAAGAAATGGGCTTGAGAAAAGGGAGAAATTCCAATATTTTAATCAGGGAGTGTTTGCTTTCAATAGATTACTCTGTTTTTAAATTAATAATGCCCTTAGTTTCTTATCTCTGCTGGTGACTATAGAAAAAAAATTCAATCTTATCTGTTGCCACTGGAAAATGCCACCAAAGGGCAGTGGGATGAACATAACTCGACAGGTATTTTTCGAGAAATTAAAAATTATTCTTCCTTTGTTTTTCCTATGGCCTTATAAATTTTCTTTTGCTTTTGAGTAAAGCACAGAGTTTTCCCATTGGAAACAAGGGAGACTAAAAGAGGTGCATGGCGGGATATTCTAAAACAGGGATATTTTTCTTGATAATGAGGTCTGCTTTGAATAAGAACATTTTTTGAGAAAGCCACCAAGGGACTCTGGGCTGCACACACACAGCTCTGAAGGAGGAG